GGATAACTATAGCCTGGCAGGTTTGGAGTAGAGATAAGAAGGTAAAGAAGAGAATAAAGTAAAAAGGAAAAGGAGAAAAAGGACCTGGAGATTTCCTAGTTGGGATCCTGAGTTCCGCTCAGTCTCCCTTATCACTCTGACCCCCCACCAGTAGTCTGCAGGCACTGGCGGTGACCGCCAGAGATACAGGCTTCTCCACACTTCCCTGCAACACCCAGCCTGATGCCTTATGAGACAGGATCTAGAGAGCATCAGACAAGTGCCAGGCTAATAGTAAATATTTTTAGCAATGCATAGGTTTAATTTTTTTTCTTTGAAAAGGTTCTACATGATTTTGCAGCCATTTTAGAAATTGGAGTGAAGCCAAAACAAGAAAATGAAAGTTATCATAATCTAATTCCTGAGAAATAAGGATGACTGGCATTTTATTAAACATTATCCCAATCTTTTTTATAGTATATTCACCAGGTTTTACAAAATAAATGAGTTTCTACTAAGCATGCTGCTTGTATCCTGCTTCTCTGTCTTTTTAATGGCTGAGTATTATTCTATGTCATGATTTATTTAACCTGTGTCCTACGGAGGCATGATGAGGTCACTGGCAATTTTTTCAAAGCAGATGATTATAGTGCAATTTTAATCAGCTTAATATTTATAGTAATCTTAATAACACTGCACAATTTCAGTCCTGTATTACAACAGGAGCAGATTTAAATAACACAGATGTGACACGGGAAGATCTGTGGTCCCCAATTGAGATTCATGAAGATACATAAATACATATTAGGCATGACTCTCACATCTCGCTCTCCATAACTAAGTACAACAGAATTATAAATAGTTTTTGAATCCTTGGAGGACTGCCATGTGACAAGAGTAGACAACTCTGAAAGCTATTTGTGAATCTATAATAAGTGGAAACCAATGTGTGACTCTTGGTTTTTCTTACTAGCAACACAACAAAATGGAGGGAAGAGGGCATGCAGCTCTGAGTGGGACCATTTCATGGCGCAGAGTAGATGACAGTGAAAATTCTCACATAAATACTTCCTATCAATGAGTGGCTAGAGTCATGTGTACCGGCTCAGTGTGAAATTCAGACGTCTGAAGGCACACTTAATGGGAGCACATTTATTCTTTTTTGTTACACATCACTTCTAAAAGAAAAGCTACTGAAGAAAAATTGAGTCCTATTTAAATTAACAGAACAAAAATCCTTAATTCAAATGTCGCTAGTGTGCATGTTAAAAACCGTATTTTCAAACTCATATGCTATAATGTTTGGTAGAGACAAATAACAGCCCAGCAGATTATTTAGGGTGGTCAACAGTAAGCATCTGGGAGGGTGTGTCCTATGCGGTATCTGGGATGTAGGTTTTCTTGTAAAACATGGGTGTTCCTTCCTTATACAAACTATTTATTTCACGATTTTTAATTCCTGTCAGGAATTTTTGCTCAAACAAAAGCAAAACCAACCAAACAGAAGAACTTAGCCAATTATATATGAATCCTGCTTCTCTGTCTTTTTAATGGCTGAGTATTATTCTATGTCATGATTTATTTAACCTGTGTCCTACGGAGGCATGATGAGGTCACTGGCAATTTTTTCAAAGCAGATGATTATAGTGCAATTTTAATCAGCTTAATATTTATAGTAATCTTAATAACACTGCACAATTTCAGTCCTGTATTACAACAGGAGCAGATTTAAATAACACAGATGTGACACGGGAAGATCTGTGGTCCCCAATTGAGATTCATGAAGATACATAAATACATATTAGGCATGACTCTCACATCTCGCTCTCCATAACTAAGTACAACAGAATTATAAATAGTTTTTGAATCCTTGGAGGACTGCCATGTGACAAGAGTAGACAACTCTGAAAGCTATTTGTGAATCTATAATAAGTGGAAACCAATGTGTGACTCTTGGTTTTTCTTACTAGCAACACAACAAAATGGAGGGAAGAGGGCATGCAGCTCTGAGTGGGACCATTTCATGGCGCAGAGTAGATGACAGTGAAAATTCTCACATAAATACTTCCTATCAATGAGTGGCTAGAGTCATGTGTACCGGCTCAGTGTGAAATTCAGACGTCTGAAGGCACACTTAATGGGAGCACATTTATTCTTTTTTGTTACACATCACTTCTAAAAGAAAAGCTACTGAAGAAAAATTGAGTCCTATTTAAATTAACAGAACAAAAATCCTTAATTCAAATGTCGCTAGTGTGCATGTTAAAAACCGTATTTTCAAACTCATATGCTATAATGTTTGGTAGAGACAAATAACAGCCCAGCAGATTATTTAGGGTGGTCAACAGTAAGCATCTGGGAGGGTGTGTCCTATGCGGTATCTGGGATGTAGGTTTTCTTGTAAAACATGGGTGTTCCTTCCTTATACAAACTATTTATTTCACGATTTTTAATTCCTGTCAGGAATTTTTGCTCAAACAAAAGCAAAACCAACCAAACAGAAGAACTTAGCCAATTATATATGGAAAGGAAGACAACTGGTATACTTGTTATACTGTAAATACTTGTTATACTGTAAATAATACAGTCTTTCTAAATTTAGCTTGACTGCCTATAGTGGCCACATCAACTTTGGTTTGTAGGGTTCTGAATTCAGGAAGATCACAACAGCCAATCCACCTCCAACAATACAGACGTGACTCCAACTCAGTTACCCGCTGACTACATAAGGGCTAGGCACAAAACCATGCCCTACGGATGGTTTTTCTGTAGTGGCTGTGCTGTGCAATGTAGAAAGCATCCCAACTAGGAACAGAGAAATCTAGCCCTCTTGTTTGGTATTTGCCACTTAAAATGTGACCCTGGGCATGTCACTGAATTTCTCTGTGCCTGTTTCACAATCTAAGATAATGAAGATAAGTACAAATGTTTACTTCATAGGGTTCTGTGTGGGTATGTGAATCTCCCGAGCACAGTAACCACCAGAAGAGGCACTTAATACTTGCTGACCTGGAAAAATGTTGATCAAAACACTTAAGAGTGGTTTCTTCTGGGTACCTACATATATTATGGGTAGCTGCAAGGATATACCTCGAATGCTGTGTAGCTTTTCTCTAGATGGTGGGGTTATGGATTATTTTTTGTCTTCTCTTTGCTGATTTGTATTGTCCACAATGATTATGCATTGCTCTTCTAACCAGAACAACACCTAAGTTCTAAAAGACCATAATAGATGAGCTCGGTACCATCACACCTCTCAGGCCCTCAGCACCGTCCACCTTGGGATACCTGGAATTCAGGTAGGGCTACCAGAAAAGGAATTGAGTGCTGCCCATTTCCTTGGCAAAACCCAAGCAGAGCCATGCAGCCATCAGAGAGCCATGCAGCCACAGCTAACTAACAGCTGTGAGCACACACACACACACACACACACATCAGAGGCGTTGCTCACACTTCGTCCCATTTCCCTTACCTCCAAGGGCCTGGTGGACTCTGCCCCTGGCTGCAGGGGAAGCTGTGAGTCTGCAGCCGAGCCAGATGGCTGATGTGGAAGCTCGCTTAGGGCTTCAGCCCTGCTCTAGGGCAGACTCACAAGACCTAGGAAATGTGGGTCTAGTCTAGCAGCTTCCAGGGAGGTCCTGCCTTCTAGGCTCCTCAAACCTGCCTACTTCACACCTGCATCCCCAGGGCAGGACACTGTCAACAGTAATTGGGGCCAAAGTTACAGACATATATATATAGATTGTGATAGGATAGTAAGTCTCTTGATTTCTCCAGGTATGTTTCCTCATTGTGTAAAACCAGGTGTCAGATATGATAACGTCTAAGTTTACTCTCAGCACCAGCATATCACACTTATATTTGAAAATGGTTGTTTTGTCTCGTTCTCTGTCATCTACTGTAAAAAAAATTCAAGTAAGTTAAGCAAAGGATCACAGTAATATGTCCCTCCCCAAGATTTAAACTGCAGTTATGCACTTAATATGCTCAACAATGTGACTCTTTAAGGATACTACTACTAATGGCTGAAGATGGAATGTTAAGACCCAGCCGTGCAAAGTGATGTCATACACACTTCTGATGTGTACTTAGGAAAGGGTCAGTAAAACTCAACAGAAAAAAGAGAGACAGGAGAAAAGAAAATATGATTCACTGAAAATATCAATGGCTGAGTCTTGGGGCTCATAAAAAAAAGATACCATTTTGTTTTGCTTGATATTTCAACATAAATGCATAGGATTCGAAACTTCTTCATATGTGAGATCCACTGTATTTTAAAGCACTATTTGATATTTCTCTTTCAAACGAATGTATTTCATAGAAATGACAAGAGTTTCTTAATCAGGCCTATGTTAATAATTTCTTCCAATTAAATGTAGTCTTATGAAACGCTGAATATATATACAGTAATTTCTGAGATTAAAAACTGTATAGATAACTTCAGTATCCACATCATGGTATTAGTAAACTTGATGTTCTATAAAATTGTTACATAACTTAAGGGATCATGGGTGCTGAAGTAGAGATCAATTCATTTCAAAGGTCACTATGTTTCTTTCCCAAATCTAATATGGGGAAGTGAAATAAATTGAAGTAAGTCACTTGAAAATCTGTCATTCAGCAAAAATAATATTGTTGGTTGGATAGTAAAGAATAGGATTTATTCATTTCTATCACTTGCAATCCTTACCAGTATCTAACACATACAAGGGGCTCAAATAGGGATTTGCTGAGTAACAGAGTGAATAATGATTCTGAGAAACATGATGCATGTACAAGGTAATATTTCTGAAACCTTTAGATTTGGTGGCCCGAAAGTGGCCTTCGTGTGTGGGGCAGGATGGAGGGACATGAGTGGGTGGAATTAATCCATTAGAGTTTTGTTCATACTTTCATTGCTAAATCTACTCATTAGCATCTGAATAATGCCTTTCAATAAATGATGATTGTGGAGATAGGCAGCAAAGGAAAAATTATAAAGAAATTCACACATAACTGTTAATGTCAATTTCCCACATATGTTTAAGTTTTGTGTATCCTTATTTTTATTATTTTAGCAACAGCTGGTCTACAGTTATTATTTTTAAATATGCATCCTAAACAGAAATCTGTTCCTGCCTGTTGGGAACCTCAGCAAAACCTAGTCCACTAATTTTATTATTTTTCTTCCGGGCTGGGATATTCACATGTTATTTCACAGATCTGAAAAAGTATGTCCTTATATTTCCTTACATGTACAATTTCACATCTAGATGCACTCTCAAATATCAAATTTTACTCACTGAAACAAGGATCTCTAACAGAGAGAGTACCAAGTAGGAACCAGGAATCCAAAGGAAGTGTTCGGCAATGAAATTGTTTTTAGACAGTCTGGCAGATGGTACTTTTTCATTACATAGGAAGTTTTCCTGGGGGAACACACACCAAATTACTTAAAAAAAAAAAAAAAAAGTGAGTGGTCACGCCGAATTAGCTGTAGTTTCTGGCCTGCAGTGCTCTTGCAAAGCCAAGCAGACCAGCCCTGAACATACACGTATGTTAAAAATTGCCAACTGCATTATGCCTGCTCTGGGCCAGTGAAGATGCATATACTCATGCAGCTGAATAAGATACCACCATTGTAAGCCGTGTACTTACCGGGTTAGATCAGCCTTACGTGGCTGTGTGAATTTGTCTCCCAGAAATGATCTTTCATCCAAAGGCCTTGAGCTCTATGCATCAAACACTCCCCAATACTCCTGACATTTCCCTGTGTCTCTATCCCTTTCTAGCTACATGCCAGTCTGTTGCCACAGAATAAAGGAAAAGGAAGAGGTTTTGAAAAGTACCCAACTCAACTAATTATAAAAAAAATTTAAACAGATATCTGATCAGATTGAGTGATTCACACCTTAAGTGAAGGTAATTGATATCCAGGACTGAAATTCAGGCCCCTGAAGTTGCCATCTGTTTTTCTTTGTACCACACCATGAAAGACTAAAAGAACATGAAATTCATTCAATTTTTCTCAGAACTTTCCATGCAGTAATAGAGAGGACAGATGTGTTTATATACAGAACATTTATATACTTTGGTTTAGCATCAGTAACAAGAAAAATGTACAACTTAGTTAAAATAAATTCTTTTCATTTTAACTGAAAATGTATCTCAATGGATCCCTATGAACACATGCTTATAAACAGGATTCAAGATACTGTCAAATGATCTGTTAACAAAAATAGCACTAGATATTAATTCTGAACCCAAATGTTTTTTCCAAAATGGCTTCCCTGACAATTTTACACCTAAAGATGGAAAGACAAAGAAGCAATGAGTTTTACTCTGAAGCCAAGACCTTTGCAGTATATGCCACCATAGTTTCACATACGGTTAATCAGTACGTGTGGGGAGGGGGCATAACCACTCTGCTTGATTATCACAAGACAGCCAAGTGTGACTGTGGCCATTTGCCTTTCAGAAGAATATATGAAAAGAAGCACAAGTTATTCCACATGTCAGGAAGCATTTCCAGCTTTCACCAGGACACATGCTCCAGGCTGACAGAGAGAAGTTGAAAAGGACACAGCTTTGTACCCAGCCGCCAGCTGAACTTGGTGGCAGGCTATTAAAAAGAAAAAAAAAAGGCACAAATTATACATAGATGGATGCGGAGGGAGGGGGGAGGGGAAAATGCAATGAGCTAATGTTCCTAGTTGGCATCTGCCTTTTGACTCAAAGAAAAAGATGGCTTTTTTCCAAAATTTTTCTATTATTGTGGTATCAGCTGCCTCTTGGACTCGTTTAAAAAAGCTGAGACTGCCAACAGAACAAGACAAGATTTCTGTTAATAGAAGTTAATGTGCAAGCTCCTTGAAATGACAGGGATTTTGATATTTTTTCTACAAAAGCTATTTGGTATTATTATTCTTGGCATGAGCTTAAGGACTTGTGTGGCCAGGTACTGTCAGAAATACAGTAACAGCAAATTCTGAGGACAAAAAGTTGCTATCTTGATTCTTTAATTTACTCTTCCAATATATTTAACTAAAGAACATTTTGAAACTAATTGGTGCTGGGTGGTCTACTGCTGAAGTGTCATCCTACCAAATGACTTTCTACTAGTTTGCCCTTTCAAATCTCAGTAATACTGGTAACTATTACACTAACTTCTTACTTTGAAAACTGGAAATCGAAGGAAAAGAATTAAGCATTCATGCAATCTTTTTAAAAAGGACTACAGATTCCACCTACATCATAAGGAAAAGATGTTCTTTATTGAAAAAGAAAAAAAAAGCTATCAAATAAATATACTAGGGATGATAGATTCAAACCCCAATGAAGAATAAAGAATGCTTCCAGCTTCTACTTGGGATGTAGAAAGCTGGAAAAGCATGACTCCCATCCTTATAATAAACATAAATGCGGGACAATCTGTAGATCAGTAATCTTTCCTGAACCCATTAGGGAGCTGAGGCAGTGCAGGGCAGCCAGCTAGACAGAAGTCTAAATGGTGCTGCAGCTCTGGCTTACCTGGCCCAGGCTCTGAAGGACACTAATAAAAAGAATTTAGCCACAACTGTCAACTACTTGCTAAAGGCTGAGTGTGAACTAGTGAGAACACAGAACATACACAGAGAATATATTGGGGTCTGAAATATAAAGGAATTGACACCCACTCTCAGGCTTTTATGAGGACCTCCTGCAGTCCTCACAAAAAAGACAGGTTGATAGCCCAGGGTCCTTTGTCATTCCGGGTACAGTCTTGGGGGAAAGAAGAGCAGCCACTGCAGAGAAGGTTTACATGAAAGGCTCTCTAGATCCTTCTTCTCTATTCCTTTGGAACAAAAAAGCCTTAAATGCCGGGGAGAAAGGTAAAAATCACTGTTTCCCCGAGGGAAATGGTGAACACCTACTGCAGCCTGGAGAGAAGGGGGAAGAAAACCAACCTTTCCAACCTGGGGGAGGGGCAGTAACCCTGAGAAGGTGACAGTGTCACAGTAACCCAGGGACACAGTGCCACCTCCCACTAGGGCTTAATCAGAACATACCCCCTCTTGCCTCTCACCACCAGACTGAAAAGCACAGGGTAAGTGACAGCAGCCTCCTACTGGGAGGGGACAAGAGAGTGGACGGGGACTGTATGCAACTTACACCACAAAGGAAAGGTTGATACTGAAGTTCAGGGAGACACAGAGAAAAACTCTTTGGCTTATCAGCCCCACCCTAAAAACAAGGTAACAAAATGGGGGAATTTGAAGTGTTTGGTTATATGGAGGGTAACCATAACACTATTCACTCAGTATATTACTCAGAGTAATACTGTATCATTCAAAATGCTCACAGTAGTCTACAGAACAAGGAGACAATCAGTAGAGATCAGAAGGCCTGGGCAACAGTAAGCTTAATTAACATTTGTGGAACAGTCCACCCAACTAGAGCAGAATACACATTCTTTTCGGGTACACATGCTATTTTCACATAAAATACCGCAACCAGGTGAGATTTATCCTGGGAATGCAAGCCTGCTTCAACTCTGAAAATCAAAATGATTTAGTATGTCAATAGACTAAATAAGAAAAAAGTATATAATAACCTCAGCAAATACAAATTTTTTTTAAAAAGTACTATTTATAACAGCATACCTCCCCTTCCAACAAACAAACAAAAAAGAAATATTTAGGTTATAAATCCAATAAAATATATGAAGAACCTGTATGTCCAAAAATTTGCTGGCATGAAAATATGATTACAACATAATATTGAATGAAAAGAAGTAAGGTACAAAATAGTATTTACTATGTGGTCAGAATTTTAAAAAAAAAGCTCAAACCAAATATTTTTCCATAAAAAAGGCTAAAAAATAATGGCCTGTAAAAAAATTAAAGTCTCCTTGGTTTCTCATTCTTAACAAGACAATCACAAAGTGTTTCAAGGAAAATAAAATTAATATAAGCCATTTCTAAAGCTACTTTCTTTGCTGTCACCTCTTACTGAATAGTGCACGTTAGGAAGTCTCTTCAGTTCAGTTTCCTTGGAGCAGTTCCACGTGCTCTTAAAATCATTCACTGAAAATAAACTTCTGTGGTCAAACAAGTTTGGTAAACAATAATGTAATAAATTGGTTTCGTAACTGCAGAACAAATTAAACTATCATACTGTGCCATTCTGGATCTTTAAGGGCTTATAGTCTACAGTGTTTCCCAAATTTATTTGAATGTAGAACTTGTTTTGCAGATAGTGAAAAAGAAAGAATAGAGAGAGAGGAAGAGAGAGGAAGGAAAGACAAGAGAGGGGAGTTGTTTGGGCTGACCTTTGAGAGTAGGTTGCAGGTGTATCATTTTCTCCCAAGAATTAAGGGACATTTCACTACTTACCCACAATACTATAGTTACATGAAAGAAAGTTAGATTATTTCCCTAATAACATCTAATATCTAGCCTAAATACAAAATACAAAATCCCTTTTTCTCAACAATGCCCTTATAGCAAGTTTTTTCACAGTTCTCCTGTAATGTTTGGTTCCTTTTAATATAAAACCACATCCTGCTTTTTTTTTTGATATTGATGTTTTTTTTCCAGAGACTAGTCTCCTTGAATTGCAGAAATCCCACCTTTTGTCTGATTATTTCTTCCTGGTGTTATTCAACTTGTTCCTCTATTCCATGGATTTCTAGTATATTGACACTTACCTTGGAAGACTTAATTAGAGCTGGGTTAAACATAGTTAGAAAGAATACATCATTGATGATGCTGTGTTCTTATACTGCATTAATACACCACATCAGGCAACCCACTAATAACGCTAAGTGTGATCACTAGGTTCAGGAGGTGACTACCTCTCTCTGTTGCAAAAGTACATTTTTTCCCTTTGCTGTAACACGTTCTTCTTTGAGCTGATACTTCACCACTGTGTGAGTGTCCTGTGTCTCAACAATCTCCTAACTGATGGTTTTTGTAGTCTTCGATGATCTTTGCAAGACTACCAGTTACCACTGGGCTTCTTGTTAATTTTTATTTAACTCTTTTATAATTTCTTTTTAGGAAAATTTACTCTTTGTGGTATACAGTTATATGAGTTTGGAGAAATACAAGGAGTTGTTTATATAACATAATAATCAAGATATAGATAATTCTATCACTCCAAAAATATTCCCTTAACACTGTTCCTCTATGGTCTTAAATAAAGTTTTGTAAAATGTCCATGCTGAGTAGCCTTGCTCTGACCTATGTGTCCCATAATATTTCATGTCTTGCCTCATAGTGACTAAACTCCTGTGTGAAAAGAATAACCATGAGAATTTGTTAAGGTGAAGACTCTGAGGCCCTGCCCCCAGAGTTCAGGATCCCAAGGCTCAGGCAGCTCTGGTGATTGTGATATCAGCAGTTCACCGACCTCATGAGATACAGCGACTACAAGAATGGCCATTACCTTCTACCTCTGCTTCTATCCATACACTTTGCAAAGTGACTTTGCTGTTCCTTCCATGAAGAGGTGGAGTCTATTTCCCTATTCCACGAACCAGGTCCTTGACTTGCTTGGGCAAGAAAACACGGTGGAACTGACGAAGCGTAACATGAGGCTTGCTTGTCTCCACACTCTCTCAGAACCCTTGTGCTGAGGCCTTGTGAAGGAGTCACTAGCTGGCTGGACAAGGAGCAATGCATGGCCTAATCTCTACCATCACCTTGGACAAGGTCAGGCAGGCATATAAATGGGGTCATGATAGAGCAGTCAGCTCCAGCTGACCACTGGGGACACCTTAGCACACTGGCCAAGATCACATAAGCCTGACCAGCTGACCCATGTGCTCAAGAGAAAGAAGAAATGTTTATTGTTTCAAGCCACCTGTGTCAGGGTGATTTGTTACACAGTTACAGATGACTGATGCACCACAGTTCTGACACTGCCCATCTGAGAAATACCACTTCATCTCATCCTCTCCACTTCCCCTGCCACCTTCATAAAATCAGCTAGGCTTTCATTTCTGGTTCAGACTGCTGCAATAGTCTGCTGACTTGTCTCCCCTCTCGCTGTCACTCCCCACCTTGTTGTCACCTCCACACACTACTGCTGCTAAAACTGAACTCCTTAAAGGCAGAAATCAAGCTGTTATAATTTATGTATTCCCATCACCTGGCACCTTCCCGGCACCCTCACAGGTGCTCAATCACTGTTTGTGGAATGACTGCTACCAGATTCATAAAATACAGCTGTGATCATGTCACTCCCCGTGCAGAACTCTTACTGACATTTACACCTTATACCATATCCATTTTCTGCTTGTCCTTTAATTGTAGGACCTCTGTGACGGGACACCAGCCTAGCTTATCACTCTTCTTCCCCTTCTTTTCTTAATGCCCTTCAAAAGTGAGGGCTAGCTGCTCATGCTCCTTACTTCTCTGTCCGTGTGGATATTGACTCCTGCCTGGAAGCCCCTTCCACATCTCTGCAAATTCTGCACATTCTTGAAGGTCCAGCTCCAAAGCACGTCTATGAAGCTCTGGCAGCTCTTGTTAAGGAAAAGCTCCCCTCTCACTGCCTCTCCACTTAGCCTGAGCCTCTCGTAGGCATCTGATATTATGGTTACTTGTGCATTATGGCATCTAGCAAAGCATGTCCCCGTCACAGATTGTGAACTTCATGAGGCCATATTCATTGCTTACCTTTCTGTGTTCCCTACTGGACCTAACATAATCCATTAAACATAATAAGACCTTACTGAGTGAAGAGATGATTTTCTGTCACTACTAAGCAATAAAGACAGTAATAATCAAACTCATAATTCAAACTGAGACCAAAGATGGCAAAATAAATACAGTGGTTTCATACTTCAGTTTGTGAAAGAATCTTCTGGAAAGCGGGTTAAGAATACAAATTCCTAGGGCCTGCCCCCAGAGAGAATGGTTCAGTAGGTTGGGGGTTTGAATTCTTATCAACCCGCCTACATGATTTTGAGGAAGGTTTGTGGGCAACACTTTATATACAGTGATACAGAACCTGCTGTACATATATGAATGCAAAATAAACCCCTTTTTTCATGTACCTAAGAATTCTTTTTTTTAAAGTTTCTTGACTTTAACACCAAAGTATTCAGCACAGAAGGCCTATAAAAAGAATCACTTTAACAATACATGCACAGTCTGGCACCTTATTAGCTTAGGCTGCTGGGAATATGACATCACACTCCACTCCTTGTAATCACAATCTGTACACATTTTTTCATCTACATATCCTTTTTATAAACTATTTAAAGTTTAATTTGCTACAAATAGTCCTATTTCAGACCATCTCACCATGTGAGGTATGCTTTAAAATAAGAGAAGGGTGCAAAACTCCGACCTTGGTCCCAGAGGCTGGCTCTTATGGCTCTTTCCAGCTGTTCCTCTTCACTCAGCCCCGCTGTGTACACGTCATAGTTCCTGGGTACTTCTTCAGGGTCACCTGGCCTGCCATACGGGTAATAATTCTGATATCCAGAGTAGCCTACGAGAACAACCAAAAGGTTAAAGAACGTTGGACTGTTCTGTTCACACTTCTTAATTTATAAGCAAAGACAATAAAACAACGTATGTCCTTATTTTGTGTATAGTGATAATCCTCAAAAGAAAAGATAACAAATGGAGAATGCCTCCTTGAGGGTGGGCAGTGACTGTCCTGTCACTGTATCCACAGTGCCCAACATGGGACTGCTCATAAGTGAGTCTGTATGTGCTGATGAGGAAGAAGATAGTCATTTAGAAGGTATAAGCAGTACCGGGGAGGGGACTAGCACGGGGCTCCTATCAGTTAGAGTGGGTTTTTTTGGTATAGAGCAGTTTAATATGTCAAGCATTTTCAGTGAAGTCCTGACTGGAGTCAAGGGGCTGCCTGGAATGACAGCTGAGAAAGCCTTACTGTCTGGCGGCTCTATACAGTGAGAGACAAACCAACGTTTAATGCATATACTCCAGGACTTCGGTGCTGGGTATATTTCAGACAGTAATGACTACATTGAGATATAGAAGCCAATGTCTCTGTAATTACAATCCTATGTCAGTGATCATAGTTTTTCTTAAAAGCACTTTCAAGAAATTGGTTGCTAGGTGAAATGAGAGAAGAGAAAACCCAGTCATTAAATAATGCTTTAAGTATCAAACTTAGATACCCCATTAATAAAGGTGAATTACAGAGCAAAGTTCACTTTCCATCAATCTTTTCAAGTCAGTTTGAATATACTCTTTACATTTTCTTTAATCACCTACTTTATGGAATTTGTTTTGAGGAGACTTTTTTCCCATGGAGGATTAACAATCTGATTCTTGTGTAATGGAAGAGAATAACAGTTTCTTTAATTTTTTCTCTTCTTTCCTTCCATTATCATATCTTTTGAAGATGATGTTTCAAATGTCTAATTAATGTGCTTTTTGTTATGGATGAAAATTCCTACCCTTTTATTATAAGTCTTGGGTCATACATCTCCCTATCAACCAACATAGTACATGCCTGAGCTTAAGCTTCTTATTGCTTTAATTAAGACTATAGAAAAAAACACAATCCAGCCAAAAAAGCAGAACACTGTAGGGTAGAAACCAGTTAATTGAGATTTCATATTTAGAATATCTGATGAGTGGTCCTGAGGCGATTTTAAAATTTACTTTTTGCATTGGTTATGAACAAAATGCTTTCCTAATATACAAGATTAAAAGGGAAACAGTTTAACCACTTCCCATAATAATTTTCAGGCACTCTGCAAGTCTTTACTTTCATATAAACAATGAAAAGACAGTCTCACTGTGGTTTAGATGACTCATGAGGCAGAGTGTCTGTTCATGAGCTTCCTGGCCATTTGTGTATCTGTTTTGGAGAAAGGTCTATTCAGAGCCTTTGCTCGCTCTTACTATAGTATTAATTACTATAATACTCTTCTATTTTGGTACTATTTTACTGAACATCCTGAAACTCACAAAAATGAATGATTTACATAAACAGTAAATAAAATTGTTCAGGACTTGGAAGCTAATTCTGGCAAGACTTCCTCCTATTACAGTAAAAATTAGTGGGGATTTACTATATACCTCCAATAACCCAACGCCCATATTTTCTCTCATATTTTCCATGGCAGAATAGGAATATTACGATATTTAAAGTAGGAGAAAGATACAAGTAAATTTCCCAAATCCTCACAATGGTTTAGGCCTGAGGTGGGATCTTGTTACATTTTAAATATGGACATCCTTTCTCAAATTGATCTCTACTCAACAGAACCATCAGAGACATTCAGCCTCCACCACTGTTTTGGGGAACACCAACCAGCAAGTTTCACATCCTGAGAGTCAAGGGGACAGTGGCATTGCTACAAATTTTGCTTTCTGTACTTCTCACCAAAACACAACAAACAAACAAACAAACCTATTCATAGAAGGGCAACTGGTTAAAGCATAACCCACACATCTGTTTCACAAAGAACAAAAGAAAGGGACAACCATTCCAAAACATAACAATATTTACAGATAAGTCCCTGAATACCATGGGATGCTTCAGCAATCCCTGAATACAGAGGCCGCCCAATTCTCTAAGAGTGCCAATTATCTGATTGCACCACAAAAAGCCTATTGGGCACTTTCCCATAGGGCTTATTACCACTTTTAAACCCCAGTGGAAAGTCATTTTGTTAAATATGGTCTAAGCAACATTTCTACCTATCTATCCTTGAAAATGTTCAGGTAATTCAAAATTCAAAATAACCCCAAAGTTGTGACTACCTATCTATACAGATGCTAGAAATACTATATTCATCTATAGAGTTTTAATGGCCAGGTAAATTTGCTACTACTTGATGCAACATTTTCTTGGCATAGAAAAATATATTTCTTCATGTTCTTATAAAAAAACAACCCAGCAGGGCCTTAATGAAATAAACTCTACAACTCCAAACATCTGAATATTATAAAATCTAATTTGGTACTTGTCAGACAAAACATGGAGAGAGAGAAAGGGAAAGTTTTAGTGCCTTAAGTCAAAAAGAGTAGTGTGGATAAAGGTTCTATATCATCAGTCATAAATCATCAACAAAAACAAAAATTCCATCAACATCTATTATAATGAGAACAGGTCTCCTAGGACCAAAAATTTTCTACAGCTGTTGCACTGGCCCAATCATATATTTTTAAACCTTTATAATAAACATGGCTGAAAAAAACCTAACAATCAAACACTAAAGATACATAAGTTTAAACTATATCCTGTGATGAATACTAGTTTAATATTCTTTTGTAGCTATGTACTTTGGCTCTGTAGTAAAAGAAATTCTGGTTATCATTATTCTATCAACTACTCCATCTGTTCCTCATACACATACCAGGGTTTCATGGCAAAAGAGATCAAGAAACACCACTAAGATCAGAACAATTGGTAACAGCTTTTTAAACATTCATGCGGTTCTTTGACCTATAAAGACTTTTCCAGCTAAGGACAACCATATTAAGAATAAATCATTACTTGTAAGAGATACATATGCTCTCATAAAAGTTCCCTAGACCATTAGCATGGCCACCTGGCCTCATGTAACTCTGCCTTTGAAGAAATCCATTCACTTCAGAGGAAGGAATATAAATATGGTAATCTTACATATGAAAGAGGAAAGGAGCAGGTTTCCCTTTTTTCTTTTTTTTTCACTAAGTGCAAAAAAAGAAAAAGAAAGAAAACACAGTAAGGGAACTGCCCTCTTATGTAAGGCTAAGCACCAGAATGCCCATTTCCCTGTACATTCACACACATGTACACTAGGAAAAGCAGGGGCTAGGGATCAGTGACTTGCATTTTTAGTCCTAGTTATAGCACTAATTATCTGTATGACTTTAGCCAAAATATTTAACATTTCTAAACCTCGGTTTCCCAGCTGTCACACAAAATATTAGGACTGTGATGGTTTAAGCCATGTCTTTGCACAAGTATGTTATTATTATCTTTGTCCAGTGGAACATTTCTGTATCTTTTGGGGACTTAAAAAACCAAATAGGAGAGAAGCCTTTTATCCACTAGCAACTTCAAGGTGTTAGGGGCCATGTCACCTGCCTAGTGGAGAGAATAAGGTCACCAGGCAAAGGAAATGACAATGGGAGACAGAACCAAAATGGTCTTCCTGTCCGACCCAACCCACCTTCTTTCTAATCACACAGGCCAACAAAGCTCTTCTTAAATCACTGTGAACTGGTCTCCACAACTCCAAAAGGACCCAGTGCTCTTCCAAATGGCTATAAGTCTGTTGATATCGAATCATCTCATGTCTCCTCAGGTGAGTCCACAAACAGAGGCAGGTAAGCTGCCATTATTCAGCAACCGCTCCTCTCCTGCACCAAGATCACGTTGCCAGGACTTTAAGCACCCAAATCCGCAGAGGTGAGACTCTCAGAAGCAGAGCCCCTTCCTGGAGCAGCGACAGTATTCATTTCTGTGGTCCCCAAGCTTAGGTGACCCGAATCACATGAGCCTATGAGTGGTGTTCCTGATCCCATCAGAATCACCTGGGAAGCTTTAATAAAAAGTCCAAGTCCCTGTCTCTATCCCATTATGATATAATTGGGTCTGGGGTAAATTCAAGGCATGGATATGTCAAACCTGTAAAAGCTCCTCAGGTGATTCATAAATACAACTAGGAATGATACTTATAATCCAAGCCTTTAAAACTACATCAAAAACACAGCTTGAATGGAACTCTAATAGAATTCTATGGATTAAATCCTTCAGTGGTATTCCAGCACATTCTGGAGAATCCCAAACAGGACTTTCATAAAGGCGTGAAAAGCCCTTTCCTCCCATTGCTTTCCCTTCCTTCTGTTCTGTCAGCAATGGACAGAGTTCATGCAGCACTGCACTTCATCTGCATAACCTCCGGTAACTGCGACCCTACTGCCTCCCGGCTTGGGCACTGAATGCACTGTGTCAGCGTCGCTAGGAGGTACTCTGCCTCTGCCGGGAAGGAGTGACTGGGATTGGACTAGCCTTCTTGCCATAGTCAAGTAGAAGACTGGAGGAAATATATGAGACACGTTTTCAGACACTGTATAATAGGCAGTACAGGATTTTGAACCTTGGGAGAAATGAAATAAAGGAAATGAGCCTAAAGATACTTTCCAGACTATATGCAGGAAGGGGCTACACAAGTAGGAGCAGCAGGCTTCCTGAGTTGAGCTACTATTTGCAGGGCAGAGTAAAAGCAAAGGAGAAAACTATGTACTGAAAAACCTCCAGAAATCTGCCTGGGGTTCCCTCGAGATTTTGCTGAATATTAAGCCATGTATGTATAGGTGAAATTCTATAAGACCAGGTGAAGAATGACCGAGAGCTATGAAGTAGAACTATTTTCAGAGCTTAGGCAGGGCTGAGAGACCTTTGCCTTATAACCAGCCATAGGAGAGTCCTTGCTGAACAAAAGGCATTCAGGAGAGATCCCAGAAGAGTAACACTTCAGAGGTAGTGCAGAATTAACCCTAGGATAAAAGTTACTGTAGACTCACCCTAAAGAATTTAAAAACAAGCCCCAGAAGAATTGAGCTAATTATCAGGAAACTTAACTCTGTGCCAGAACAAGGTCCACTATTCTTTAATTAAAAGAAGATAAGCCCTAGTACTCAAAAGCACAAAGTACACAATGTCTAGCATCCACTCAAAACTTACACAAATTGTGACCTACCACCAGGAGAAAAATCAGTCTAATGAAGAAGATAAAAAAAACAAAAACTGAAAAGCAGAATTAACAGGGACTTTAAGTAAGACACTGTTATGACCATGCTCATGATTTAAAGAAAAACATGAATATAATGAGGAGAAAAATGAAGCATATAAAAGAGAACTAAATGGGACTTCTAGAGCTGAAAAATACCAGATCTGAGGGAAAATTCACCAGGTGAGATTGACAACAGATTTGACACTGTGGAAGAACAACTGGGAGCTTAAACACACAGTGGTAGAAACTATCCAAACTGAAGCCCCCCCACACAAAATAACATAACAGAGCCTTGGGGACTTGAGGGACAACATGGAGCAACCAAACACTGGTGTAAGTGGAAATCAGAAAGGGTGGAGGAATATGCTATGGGAGAATTAATTACCAAAAGACCTGTACTAGAGGAAATATTTAAGAACATTCTTAAGGCCAAAGGAATGTGATACCACATGAGATTTGGATCCACATAAAAGGAATCTCCTATTTTTGTGGATCAAGTGACACAAGCCCTGGGTACATCCTTGAGCTATACATGCAAATCAAAGGGATTTAAAAAAGGCATAGGCTTTGGAAACTGAACTACTACATAACCCCCCACACAAGTATGAGATTAATCCATGAGCATACCTGTCCAGATAGCACAGAAAAGGATTTGAAAACTGAGCTGACACTGGAAACTACTGCCCACAGAATGAGAGAAAGAATCTATGGTCTAAATAAACCTAACTAGAGTGACTATCTACTAAAGCAAACAAAAACCAAAAAACAAATTAACATTTTCGAGAGGATTTCAGCAGGACCTGGAATGTCACAATGTAATATTCAAAATGCTGAGATGTAAGATAAAATTACTGGACATACAAAACAAAACAAAACAAGAAAAACAGAAGAATGTGACCAATTCTTAGGAGGAAAAGAAAAGCAACAGATGCCAGCCACATGAGAGGACTGAGATGTTAGAATTATCAGACAGACTTTAAGGCAACTATAATAGCCACGCCCTATGAGATAAAGGTGAACACTAGAGAAATGAACGGAGAGACAGTCTTTAGGGGAGACATAGAAACTGTAAAAAAAGAACCAAATGGAAATTTTAGAACTAAAAATACAACATTAAAAAAAACTCCCTAGATAGGTTCCATAGGTTCAATAGCAAAAAGGAGATGACAGAGGAAAAAGTCAGTGAACTTGAAGATAAATCAATAGAAAGTACCCATGATGAAGAACACAGAGGAAAAAGGATTGAAAAATTTAACAGAGCCTGAAGGACTCAAGGGACACTATCAAAATGTCTAAATTTTATGTCATTTAAGTCTCAGAAATTGGTGGAAATAAAATATTTGTAGAAATAAAATCTGAAACCCTCCCAAATTAATGGAAAAGCAAAAAAATGAGTCAAAAGTTGACAGAATTAAAAGAAGATAAAAGTAATTCTATAATCATAGTTGGAGATTTTTAATCCCTCTCTTTTAGCATTGACAGAAAAGTTAGATTAAAAAAAATAGTAAAGACCTAGAAGATATAAGTCTAAACCACCTTGACCTAATTGATATGCATGGAACACTACATTCAGCAATGGCAGAATAAACATTCTTTCAAGGGCAATGCATACATTCACCCGGATGGATCATATACGGGGACAAAAGAAAGTTTCATAAAATTAAAAGGATTGAAACTACACAGATTGTGTTCCCTAGCAAAAAGAGAATTAAGTTAGAAATCATTAATAAAAAGATATCTAGAAAATCTGTGGTATATAATATATAAAATTTTTTTAAAATACCACTCAGGAATAAAAAAAGAATTAAAAACTACTGATACATATGATATCACATATGGATCATCAAATATCAGGTTAAATGAAGGAAGCCTACAAAAGAGTACTTAGCAACTGAGTATATGAAGTTGGAGCTCAGGCAACCTATCTATGGTGATAGAAATGAAATCATATCAGTGTTGTCCACGGCGGAATAGGAGGGTGGGGGATGAATAGAAGGGGGGAAATGAGTAGAAGGGGACATAGTAAAAACTCAATAAATACTGAGTTTATTAATAAAATAATAACTATTTACTAGCTACCAGTCCATAATCTGTATCACCCACTCCACAGGTCAGCATTTTACTTCCTATACCCTAATTAGTCTTACTAGTTTCTATTATTTCATCTTTTCAAATGTATGGTAAATACATTCTCACTCCTGGATTATAAGCTTTCTGAGACAGGGACAACAGCTTTTTCTTTCTCTCCCATGCCATGATGGCTGGCTTCGCAATCTACAAAATAACCACTCACAAAGTGCTACAGGGCAAATCAGTCTGCGGACAAGAATCTTCTCTGGGAAAATAAAGCAAAAGCACTATATATAAAAAAATGTACATATTTCTTTGTACCTATATTAGTTAAGCCAAGGGTTAAAAAGCTACAACTTGTGGTCCAAATCCAGCCTACTGCCTGTTTTTGTAAATAAAGTTTTATTGGGACACTGTTACACTCATCTGTTTATGAATTGTTTATGGCTGCTTTCATACAATGACAGGTTGACAAGTTGCAACAGAGACAATATGGGCAACAAAGTCCTTAGAGTCTAAAACATTAGTGTCCTCAGAGTCTAAAACATTAGCTAGCTGGCCCTTTACAGAAAAGGTTGCTGACTCCAGATTTAAGCTACAGTGGTTGTCACTTGGCCTGAGCTTCCACAGCGTATGGCTTCTTTAATACTTGTCTGCTGGTACCAGTGCAGCCTCCCCAGGCTGGCATGAGTGGTCTTAGTCTAAAGCAGGTCAAAGGCTTTAACAGGAAGTTTTTCTACCTATATACAAGTTATCTAAAAAAATGCCTTCTCTTTTTAAGTCACATGGTATTAATTTTAGAGGATGCCTATTCTTAGTCTCTCAGGGTTAGCATCATTCTTCATGAATATGTAGATGGGGTGGACTGTGGAGAATTACGTATCTGAAATGATTTCCAACACTTAGCCAGCAGGATGGTCTCTTAGGCCAAGAATCAAGGGATCTGGGTCTAGGATGAATCTACCATGTCTGACAGACCACATACCAGTAATATAATATTTTCATGCCAGATTTACTTCCTTCCCTGGCTTTCTCTACCAACCCATCCAAACATGCTCCTTGGGCTACCATTCCATCTAGCTTTTAGGCATGTTGGAGGCACAAGTACAAAATGTGTAAACTATAATACAACAGCATAAACTATTATTACCTTCAGCTCTACCAAGGCAAACACTATAATTTTAAAATGTACATTAAAATATATTAAATGAAATGAAGTGCTTACCTGAACTATTAAAGTAGTATTGCTGTCCTGGATAACCACTATTAGAGGAAAAAATGCCTAAATAAGAAGGAAACAGACATTATAATTGGATCCATAAGGTTTTGCTCCCCAGCTTTACTGAAGTATATTTTTTAGGAAGTGTACAACATGATGATTTAATATACATATCCATTATGAAACGACCAGGGTCAAGTTAATTAACACATCCATCAACTCACATAGTTACCATTGTGTGTGGGTATGTGGGTGTGAACATTCAAGATTTATTCTTAGTAAATTTCAAGTATGCAATACCGTATTATTGATAACTATAGTCACCATGTTGTACATTAGATTCCCAGGGCGTATTTGCCTTATAACTGGAAGTCAGTACCCTTTGACCAACATCTCCCTATTTCTCTCACCTCCCAACCCTTGGATACCACTGTTCTCTCTGATTCCAGGAGTTTAGCTTTTTAGATTCCACATACAAGTGATGTCATACAGTATTTGTCTTTGTCTGGCTTATTTCATTTAGTATAATGTCTTCCAGGTTCATCTACTTTGTCATAAATGGCAGGATTTCTTTCCTTTTTATGGCTGAATAATATTCTAGCCACAATATTGGATTGTTTTCCTATCTTGGCTATTGTGAATAATGCTGCCATGAACATTGGGAGTACAGATATCCCTTCAAGATACTGATTCATTTCCTTTGGATATATACTCAGAAGTGGCATTAATGGATCTTGTATTGGTTCTGTTTTTAATTTTTTGAGGAAACTCCACACTGTTTTCCATAATGGTTGTACCAACTTACATTCTTACCAACAGTGTACAATGGTTCCCTTTTCTCCGCATACTTACCAAAATCCTCACCTCATCACTTGTTATCACTTATCTTTTTGGTAATAGCCATCTTAACACATCCTGATTTCAATCTCTATTATCAAGCTAAAGTATTCAAAAGAGTATTGTACTGGTGTGAAAACAGACATAATGACCAATGGAACAGAACAGCCAGGAGGTTTCAACTGCTAATCTTTCCAACAAGTAGGTGGTTCTTTAAAACAAAGTCAAGGTCATTTCAAATGATTTGTAATAAATTTTTAAACTCCCTTTTGATTGGGGCTTAGCCCTATAGAGAAAAGAATATGCAGGTGACAATGAAACCCTAACTTACGCTCTCAGAAGTTACTTAAAAGGTCCTGTTGACCTAAGATAGTCTTTGCCTTCCAAGGTGCCAAGCTTGGGCTTTGAAGCATCTGTGCAAGCAGAGGTGATCTGGCTATAGAGAGAACTTGCCCCCAACAAGACTGTCAGGAGAACCACAGTTCTTACCCTTCCTAAGGGACTTTCCCTTTTCTTGTCCCTAGAAGAGCAGCAGGATAGTCAATTCAGCACTCTAAAGGAGAAACAGGCACCCCTTCAGTGTGAGTTATCAGACACAGCCTGCACCTGCTTGGTTATTTCCCACAGATTTTGTGTTACCTCAATTCTCAGCTCACTCTAGAGCTTTCTCTGGCTCCATCCAAAAAAAAAAGGCAGTGAAATTATAAATAGCACTGAATGGTTGTTTCAGCTTTTGGTGTTTACTTTTTCTATTGTATGATTTTGTAAATAGAATGATGTGAAAATAAGTCTCCATAGAAAATAGACAAGATTTTAAGAAGAGAAACTAAGAATTCAAATGTTATAATTGTGTGGAAAGTCCTCTTTAAAAACAAAACACTTGCCTGAATTTTGTGGTATGTCTGCAGAAAGCTTTGCTAACCACTAAATCTTCAGATACACATAGAAAAATGAAACAAAACATTAAACTCCCAAGAATCATTTCTTTTCCTTTATCAGAACCAAGAGCATCAGGGCAAAAAAGCTCATTACTAGATTTCTATAATTAAGTTGTATCAGAAATATAATAAAACTGGACATTTCCAATAAATGAAACTCCTGCTGCCTCTTCCAAGTACAAACAGCAGAAACACACAACTAAGCAAATGTAGGAAAATGCGAATCTGTTTAGATGCAGTGCAGTCTGTAAAAATCATCCACAAGTGAACACAAGCTGCTAATAAAGGCAACAGTGCAGTGCCTGGAAAGCTTTCTAATATCATGAATATTATATGGTTCTTGAGAATACCAGTCATCGGCACAAACTGTGAAAACAAATTATTTATGGTTCAAGAAAAGGTAAAATAGTCTCAGCAGATTTCCCATGAAAAAAAGATGAAATATTGGAACTCATATAGTCTATAAAACAAGTATTCACAAAATAGTTTCCTTGTAAGTCAAAACTGGTATAGCATTTTAAATTAAGATGTCTAAGAAATCAATATATTTCTAAATAAAATATAGTAATTTCATTGATCACTAATTTGAAGCAGGAAAAAAAGCAAAAAATTTTTTAAAAGCAGGAGCCATGCTTCAAGCACTAACAGACTTGGTTTGCCCAGGCATGAATATATGTCTTGCCCACCATGGACCTAGTGGTCATTCTTAATTTTGTAAAATACTGGCCCTGTATTTCAGGACAGATTTATTTTTCTTTTTAACTTTGTCTTACACATATATTAAATCATGGAATACTGTAGAAGAATTTATTATTTTAAACCCACTTTAGATCTCTGCATTTTCAGGGAAATCGTGGTTTTGTGGAGCATTAATGCCAAGGGTACAAATGGATCACATTATTTGTGCCCTAAGAAAGCCTGAGGTTTAAAATTTGGATTTACAGCCTTTTCTCTGCAGCAGTGTGAGGAACTGCACCAGCTGTTTTACCTCTTTGTATAAAAACAGCCTATCAGGGAATTCATAAACTGAACCACAGAGAAACTTGGGGTGCTTCTGTTCCTACCAAAATTAAGATGAACTTTAACTTGTTGTCATGCCAAAGGTATTTGTTCTGTACCTGCACATGCTTCCACAATTTTCTTCAGAGGCCCATGAGTGTACATCAGTCCAACAAGGATGCCGGCCAGATGCCCAGCGAAGGAAGTCCTAGGAGAGAAGGATACCCTTTGTGAATATGTGCTCTGCTGCTGATTAGGTACATTCTGTCTTCTCATTAGCCCAGTGCATGTCAATTAGTCACAGTCTGCAGGCTTTGTTCCACATTGCATCTTTTATGCTGAGTAGTATTCAATTCAGCCCAAAGAACAACATTTCCTACCTTAAAAACAAAAAGTACAATGAACAACCACCACCATGTGTTTAAAATGCAATATCCCTCTTTGACAGAGAAGTGGGCTGGTTCCTTCAGAGCAGTGGAAGCATTTTGTAAAGGCAACCCATTATATTTCGTCCAGTTTTTCTCTGCAGCTCTTATCACAAAATGTAAATGAAATCCACTTTCCCTGAATTAAATCTTGAACTACCCAGCCATTGTGAGGAGTGGTATCTGTGTTCACAGTGGAGCAGGCTGCTCCATTTCTATACACCACTGACTGCCGAGTGAAGCAGAGAGCAAGAGAAACTCAGCAGAAGAGACTGAGATGTCCACTTGCTTCCTCTTAATGTCATGTTCATATGTATCTTTCAGTTGCTCAGTGAAAAGAAACAAAAATGTTAACTTCAAGCTTGAAAGATGAGTTGGGGCATTAAATTAGTCCCACTCTTCTTAAAATAGCATCTAAGACTGGCGGGTCACTTACAAATATAAATACAAGGTAAGCACCTGCTAAGTAATATTGAATGAGTAAAAGAACAGATGAAAGAAAATCTTCCAGCAGTCTCCTTTGCCCTAAAACAGAGAGTAAGTCACAGCTTTGCTAAGCTGTGAAACTCACTCATCTGCTTACATAACACTCAAGCCTACAGTCAACGCCTTCTAACAGGTGGCCTTGCCCATCCCTACCGTCTACCCTCATCACCCACTAAACCCATCCCCCCATTCTATGCTAGATCTCCCAAGTGATCATGGGTGACCACAAAGCTAAGCTGAATAGCACTCCTGTTATAAAAATCATGCCCCAGTCCCCCCTCTACCACCCTCCCTCAAGGCCATTGCTCCTGCCTCTGTCAGAGCACACCTCCAGCCTGCTGGGTGGCAGTGTTTACATGTTGGCCTGTTTGTCTGCCTGTCTCCTACAAACTCTCTGTGGGCAGCAATTGTATCTTATTCATCTGTTATGCTTAAAAAAAAAAAAAGGTCAAGTACATGAATACATTTCCATGGCTTAGGGAAATGACCTCTCACTCCGGAAGGCTGGCATCTAAAAGTTATTAAGGATGTAAACTCCAAGAGCACAGTGAGTTCTGTGGTTCTCACACACGTATTAGGCATGCCTAGAGCTGTGCCTGGCACGGGACAGACACTCAAATATCTACTGAATGAATAATTCACGTGTCCCAGGATGGTCTCATCAAAAGCACCAGGGCGGGTGAAAACCTCTACTCCAGACTGCTTGCTGAGCCAAGGCACTGACAGAGCTGTCGGCCAGTCACCCGCCCTGGACACCTAGAATCAAAACCAACACACTGCACCTGCCACAGGAGGCAAGCGACAGGGAAAAGGGCTGGGACACCACCAGCTAGACAGCTGCAAGTGACTCTCATTGTCGCAGACTGAGACAAAGACTTGTCAGCTCCGAGGAAAGGAACAGGCAATGGAACACTTGAGAGAAAAAGATGGAAGGAAGCCTTCTGCAGACAGGAGGGCGCTGCTGCCTGTTCCCACTGGCCGGTTCCACCACCCTCCCGGCCATCCAAGCCCCTGCTCATGTCCACACACAGGAAGTCAGGGTGTGCACACCTGAGCACCAGTAGAATACACCCCCACACCTGTCATTCCTGCAGGAGAGCTACTGTCTTCATCAAATGTATCTACCTCACAGTAGTGTAACCTGGTAATAGAAAAATGGTTCAGATACTTGGTTTCCCACTTTCAGGGAAGAATAGCATGAACCGTGCTTTTTTTTAGCTTTCCCCCCAAAAGTTAAGCTGGGCTTATTTAATCCTATTCTCAAGGTAAATAAAACTCTCCAACTAGTTCTAGGAAAGGCAAAAAAAAAGGTAGTTTGAGGGATACAGAGAAGAGGCTAGAATCTGCTTTTTAAAAATAGTAACCTCCACTTGATGGAAAAAGAATAAAATAACATCAGTGCTTTTTAAATATTTAAAACCAATCTTTATGGTGAATTACATAGATATAAATAACATGGGAGAAAATTTCAATTTAATACTTCAACCTATTAAACAACCCATCTTGAATCTCATTTACAATTTAGAATACAGTACAGTTAAATGAAGTCTTATCTCTCTAAATGGGAGTGCAGAAGTTTGAGTCAAAATCTAATTGTCCTAACCTCACTGGGGGTAACTAGCTAGGGGAGGCCGGCAGACCAGAGACCTTGCTGCAGTACCCCCCAACATTTCATATTTTCCACCGAAGTCCCATCTCAAAACTCCAGCTGTCCTTGTCATTTTATTTAAGCTCTACAGGTGTTCTTTCTTAAATTAAAAATAAGAGATTATGATCTTATTCAATCAAAACTGAGAATTTCTCAACATTGTAAAAAAAAAGGGGGTGAGATTCCACCAATGAGAAAGGAAATACATGCTCATTTTAAGGGGGATGTTAGCTTTCTCCATGCCATGGTAACCGTTTGACAGACCACCTCCCCTTGCTAAGAGATGCTTGTGTCCTGCGAGAGGAAATGGACGGGGGGAGGGGCGGGCTGCTCCATCCCTGTCCTGGAAGGTAGGGGTGCGGGGTGCTGTGGAGCCACAGGGCTTTGGGGGAAGAAGACACATCTGGGTGTGTGATTGGTGGCTGGGATCTACTTTCAAATAAACAGCTTTAGAAACAGGTTGTGTTATTATGATCATAATTATATAAACTAAGCAGACGTTTTGATGTTTGCGGTATCCGAGGAAGCCCCCTGGAAGGTGTGTCCTCTACTCGCCTCTTAGTTACACCTGTTGGCTGACACCCCGTGCAGCAGGCGGGGAAAACCCTGCTCTTGGAACAGCTTCTGGCCCTGAGTAGGCTGTAGGCTAGGACTGCGGATTTGGTGACAGCCTGCTACCCTTTATGCTAATGCAAAGTAATTCCTCAGGGACAGGTCATATACCCATGACCACACCAGTGCAGTGAAGAGCCTGACACTAGCACTCAATAAATAACTACTGAAGGAGTGCAGAAGAGGAGATAAAATCACACAGAGATTGCACAATTTCTAACATACATTACAATTCTATTATAAAAATACAAGTTATTCATGGTCACCAGTTAATAGTTGTTTCAGTATCAAATCTTCTCACAGGGAGAGAGAATGATCAACACAACTCCCCTCTCCTGCAAACACACACCCTTAGACAATGTGTTACACAAAGTGTTCTCAACTAACAAGATGACAGCACTAAACCCATTTTTATACCCTAAAATTGGTCACTTAGAAGCTTTATTTCTTCTGATGGCTCAACAGCCCTTCAGAAAATCCTAACAGCTATCATCAAATCCTGACTGTGATGTGAGATACAGCCACAGGGGTCAGACACATCGCTGCTGTTGTACAGCCACACAGGTTGTGTACTGCACAGACTACAATGAGAAGAAATATACTTCATCTGGGGTCTCAACAGTTCTAAAAACTAACCAACAGATCCAATATTCAAATTCAGATCACCACAGATCAACTTCAGACCAAGTTAAGTACCAATATGATTTCATTTTAATAGGGGACAATACCTTAATCTAAAACTTGCTTAGTTTCTAAGCCCCTTTATATGTCTGATGAAAGCCACAAATACTATCTGTAGAAATACCACACATACATCAAATAGGTCACCTATAATTTTAAAGAAGTTCAGAGATGGCTTGAATTCCACCTCCAGACCTCTCATTAAAAAACCTTTCCTGAAGTGAAAATAAGCCATCATAGACAGAAGAGTTTCAGACATCAGCGCCAAGTCTGAACAGTTACACACTCAATTGGAAAAGCCATTTATTTGATTAAGTTTATTAATGTGCTTTTTCTTTGTTGTACCATTGCTCTGTAATGGAGAACTCTGCTTCTACATTCAGTTTCCTTCCACTGAAGTTCAGCTTTTAGTAATTCTTTCAGTTAAAGTCTGAGGGTAACAAATTCTACTCCCCTTTGTGGTCTGAAAGGCCTTCCTTTCAGCTTCCTATTTGATGGTAGTTACAGGACCCACTGCTGCCGCAAAGAAATATCAGTCATTTTTGCCCACAACCTGCCTTTTCTCTCAGCTTCTAAGACCTTCTATTTTAGGTATCATTTTTCCATTTAACATTCTAGTTGTTGATTTATTAAGTCCTCCTTGAGATTTGCTGTACTTTTTCAGTCTGAGTGTTCATATCTTTCTACAATTCTAGAAAATCCTTAGCCATTATTTTTTGTCCTATGAACCTCTAACTATGCACACATGCTTATTTCCTGATACAGAATGGGGGCTCAATACATGTTTTGTAGAAAACAAATTAAAAAAAGATGAGAAGTTAAAACAATGTTGGTATACATTACTTATAATGGGTAGTGATGATAGAATAGTAATTTCAGAGCAAGACAGATTCAGATATTACTATGGGTTATATGTCAATTATATTTCAATAAAGCTGGAGAAAAGATACTGTGGATTTTAGTTACACCAATAATATGCAGATATTATTAACACCAACACACAGTGTTCTTTCCTATCACATCAGCATAAAGTGATCCTCACTCCTTTAGGAGGCTATTTGTAAGGTTGAGCTAAGTGGTTATGCAAAATACCCCTGCTCTTTGTGCCACTGTTAAAGAATCAAAAGCTAAAGCTATGATTGGGAGCTGTGATAAGCTATAAAGGTCCTCCTCTACTAAACCGCAAATTCTTTCCACAGTTGAAGAGGTTGCCCGCTCAGGTATAGCTCACAAAGCAGAAATGTTTTACTCTAAGACATAATCTCATGGTATGCAAAGCAAATGACCTCATTAAGGATGCTACTCAATGGAGACACAGTATGGGACAAGGTAGAACAAGGTAAGGTAAAGGCAGTC